AGCCCCTGGGATGCAGAATAAAGCACAAAGAGCAGGCAACACGTAGCCCAGATGGCATCACAGTCCTTTAGAAAATGTCATCACAGAACTTTAACCACTTAGACATTTATTTTCAATTAAAGTATGAAGAACATTTATTTTGGGGTGCTTGGGTGACTCAGTCGGTTAAGCCTCCGACTTTGGCTCAGGTCATGATCTCACGGTTTGTGGGTTTGAGCCCCACATGGGGCTCTGTGCTGACAGCTCAGAGCCTGGAGCCTCCTTCAGATTCTGTTTCCCTCTCTCGGTCTCTCTCTCAAAAAAAAATAAACATTAAAAAATATTTTAAGGAAAAATATTTTAATACGAAATATGAAAAAACTTTTTGATAGTTTCTCTTACGGGAGGGTGAAAAAGATCATCAGTTTTCTATTGGAGAATCTTTCGTGGATTTAAAGAATATTTGGGGAGCATTTTAGTTCGTGCAATTCAAAAGCGGCTGCACAAATTCATTGGAAGGATAGCTCTTGCTGGGCCTTGCCGTGTCATCTGTGCAGAGCTTGCCTGCGCCCCCAGCTAATCCCGGTACCTGAGGCACAGCTGAAGGAGGCGACTTCCGCTCTCGGGGAACCTATATTTGACACTGGTTGCTACTTTTCCTGAAGCACAGTGTTTTCTCTGGCAGCTAAGTTGCCTGTTTGATATGCTTTTTTCCTTGTTGCGTTTTCTTTGTTTTTATTTTTATTTTTTAATTAAACAAATTGTTTAAAGTGTTCCTTTTATTTTTGAGAGAGAGCGTGTGCACACATGCACACACCGAGCAGAGGAGGGGCAGAGGGGGAGGATCCGAAGCAGGGCTTCAGGTTGTCCGCAGAGCCCCTTGTGGGCTCGAGCTCACAGACCGGGAGATCGTGACCTGAGCGGAAGTTGGACGCTTAACCGACTGAGCCACCCAGGGGCCCCTTAAGTTTTTAATTCCCGTGTCATTAATATACAGTGTTATATTAGTTTCAGGTGTACAGTATAAGGATTCAACAATTCCATGCATCTCTCAGTGCTCATCCCGACTCGTGCACTCCTTAATCCCCGTCCCTTACTTCACTCATTCCCCCACCCACCTCTCCTCTGGTACCATCAGGTTGTCCTCTCTAGTTAAGAGTCTGCTTCTTGGTTTCTCTCTCTCCCTCTCTCTCTCTCTCTCTCTCTGTCCTGTTTCCTAAATTCCACATGAGTGAAATCATATGGTATTCGTCTTTCTCTGATTGACTGATTTCACTTAGCATTATACACTCTAGCTCCATCCATGTTGTTGCCAATGAAAATATTTCCTTTTTTTGTGGCTGAATAATATTCCATTGTATATATACTACATCTTCCTTATCCATTCATCTATAAGTGGACACTTGGACTGCTTCCATTGTTTACCTGTTGTAAATAATGCTGCAAAACATAGGGTTGCGTGTATCCCTTTGAATCACGTTTTTGTATTTGGGAGGTAGATACCCAGTAGTGCGATTACTGGATCATAGGGTAGTTCTATTTTTAACTTGTTGAGGAACCTCCATACTGTTTTCCACAGTGGCCGCACCAGTTTGCATTCCCATCCAAAGTGTTAAGAGGGTTCCTTTTTCTCCACATCCTCGCCAACACTTGTTTCTTGTGGTTTTGATTTTAGCCCTTCTGACTGGTGTGAGGTGATATCTCGTTGTAGTTTTGATTTGCATTTCCCTGATGATGAGTGATGTTGAGCATCTTTTCGTGTGTCTGTTGGCCATCTGTTGTGTCTTCCTTGGAGAAATGTCTGTTTGTGTCTTTTGCCAATTTTTAATTGGATTATTAGTTTTTTGGGTATTGAGTTGTATCAGTTCTTTATATATTTTGGATACTGCCCTTTATCAGATATGTCATTTGCAAATATCTTCTCCCGTTCAGTAGGTTGTCTTATAGTTTTGTTGATTGTTTCCTTCCCTGTGCAGAAATTTTTATTTTGGTGAAGTCCCAATAGTTTATTTTTACTTTTGTTTCCCTTGCCTCAGGAGACCTATCTACAAAAATGTTGCTACAGCCAACATCAGAGAAATTGCTGCCTGTACTCTATTCTAGGATTTTTAGGGCTTCAAATATCACGTGTAGGTCTTTCATCCATTTTGAATTTATTTCCGTGTGTTGTGTAAGAAAGTGGTCCATTTTCATTCTTCTGCATGCTGCTGTCCTCTGACTGCATTCTCTGCATGGTTAATTCCAGTGGGAAATTATTTCAGTTAATTTCAAGTTAATGCAAGTTATTTCAGTTAATGCAAGTTTACTTATAGTCAAACTGCCATGCCTTGAGAAACTAGTACCTGAATGGATGGTAAAACTCACTTTAAGTTACCAAAATTACTATCCTCTGCATACATGGAAATCTTTTCACTTTTTAATCTCCATAAATCTTCTCAGCAACTCTGTGACATGGGCCAGCTACCAATGCTCCCATTCTTTCCCCAGCCGTGTTAAGTGACAGGTCATTAGCTGTGGAACCAAGACAAGAAGTTGGGTTCCGTAAATAAATGTGACAGTTTGCTTATGAATGTGTATTGACGAGCGATCCTCAAGCTGGGGTGGGCAAGCCATTTGGAGGTATGCAAAGCCATTCGTTCACAGGGTGGAGGGTCTCGATCCGTTGAAGGGACTCCATTGTCAGAGCCTCGGCTCATGTGGGTCCAGAACGGATCTGCCTGAGGGTATGCATGTGATGAGGACGTGGGTCCTTTTTCCTAAATGTCCTTCTCCCACTTGGCTAAAGGAATCCTACCTCTCTCCCGTCTCGCTATGATGCACTGACTTGATGTTTTAAAACCTGTGGGGACATGGGGTAGATCAATTTTTAATTTTTTGAGGAACCTCCACACTGTTTTCCAGAGTGGCTACACCAGTTTGCATTCCCACCGATGTTTATAGCAGCACTTTCAACAATAGCCAAATTATGGAAAGAGCCTAAATGTCCATCGACTGATAAATGGATAAAGAAGTTGTGGTTTAGGG